AATAATCCCCCTATTGTATTGTATAAGAGAGATGATATTATATACTCATATATTAGTACTAAAACAAAGAGATAATTGCTTGATGGGACTCTTGGGAAACTCAAATTACTTGATCGGATTCATTAGGTTTCAATTTACCCAATCGGATCCCACTCAACGGCCATGCAGGTATAGTAGAGAGGTAACGGATGTCAATCTACATCCACTGCCTCTGAAGATCAGTGTCTATGTTCCAAGATGAATGAGTGTAAATCTCAGAAAATGGATAAGAGTCATATGTAGGTGTGAAAGACTCTGGAGGAAATCCAGGCTTCAACTTCCCAGAGTATGGGACAATTGGGTGAGTAGAGTGTTCCCGATGCTTCCTGATTTTTTCTTCCATTTGCAAGGACTTCGTGAGAACATTCATAACCTCCTCCATGTCTAGCCTCTCTGTGCTGTTGGGCACAATAAACGACTGCGCCCATCTTGTCACCAGGAGCACTCCTTTTCGCCCAACGACGGATCCACGATGGTGTAACTTGTAATATTAAAACATCGCTGACGGTGTGCCGTTGAGTGGATGCCCATCGGGTAAAATGAAACCTATTGGATACCATCAAGTAATTTCACTTTCCCAAGGGTCCCATCAAGCAATTATTTCCTAAATCAAACAATGTCAAAGATATGATTGAAAGTTTTCAATCCACCTTTAGATCGACCAACACAAGAGAGTGAGGAGATTGAAAACCCTCGATACATGACACAACATCAAAATCAATTAGAGTGATTAACAAGAAAGTCATCAACATAGTATATTCATGCTTCTTAACAATTTAGCAAATAGATTGGAGTGGCTAGTTATTCCTCAATTTAGTTTAATTATCCTTCACCCTACTATAGTTTATGGAAGAGAGGTCTCTGATTGATTAGAGTGAAACAAAATAGCTTGAATGCTTATGTCTAATCTGGTGACCTCCAAATTTATTACATTGCGTCACTTCTTTTGCATTTGGCTTCAATTCCATGTCGGAAGAGCATGAACGAGGCTAAGTCTTTCAATTCCCTCTTTTCCTTTGGACTCTTATCAAAAAATTTCATCGACAAAGGAACTAGTATATTTTAAATGTAATGCTCAAATCTCCACGGCAAATCTTCGCTTTAGAATCAAAGAAGTTAGGGTGACACCAAAACCAAGGACTTCTTTCATCTTGATCATGTTTTCACAATTGGTTCTCATGTTCTACCTCACGCGAGGACTTCAATGACGATATTCTTTTGACACGCTGGGGAACGGATATGCCGTTTTTCATTCAGCGGCCTCTTTGATAGTCTATCCGATGTTGTTCTTTTTGTGTACAAGTTTGCCGTATTGGGTTCAATCCACTACGAGGGAGCTTTGTAAATTGTACAATCATAGCTTCGTCAAAGTTTCTGGTCCAAGTCTGTCTTCTTGGGATGAGATGAGGGTTTTTGACCTTACACCATCCATCCCTTCTCTTCTCTACTGTCCATGTACGCATATTTCTAATGTAGGTCTGAGCATGACCACCATTTCATGCGGTAGACAAGAACATGGACGTAGCACCACACAGTTCCTAAGCGCCCACTAGTTAATGCTAATATGCTCTTTACGAAATGCATGAGGTAAATGAATAAGGTGTGAGGTCTAGGGTATAGTATGAGCAGAGATAATTAACCTAGCATGAGGTATAACTAGCTGCTCTCATAGATTGATTCAACTTAGTTTGGAGATGACATCTAGTGAGTAGACATGATCTCCAATCATATCATAGTAAACTCTACTATGATTACAATATGACTTTCATCATGTTAGATTATAAAACTGTGTTATACGGTGAGGCTCAATCTTTGTTGGTATAATGGAGTAACATGCAACAATGCAAAGAGAGATGCAATCATTCATTGACAATCAGAATTAATAAAACTTCAAAGAATCAACATGTAATATACAGTAAGTACAGTTAACAATTAAACTACAATTTCTTTGATGGAATTAAATAATCGTATAAAATACAGTTGCGATTAAAAATTTTACAAAGGAAATTTTTCAATGAAAATCAAATACTGTTCATACTTTTAAATTGCTATATATCATAATATTTATTTTTTGTGTGTATGTATTTTGTGTTCATGATATTATTTGATTTGATTTTAAATCAAATGGATGTTATATATATTATGATAATTTAGACCATGTTATCGTTATGCGACAGCTTATGAATTCTATGAAAAATAATAAAGAGTTTATGATTATACATTGCATTTTTTGGTATGGTTTCAAACAAGATTAGAGACATTGCAACAAATCCTTCTACGCTTTTATGACATTGCAAAAATTCAAACGAATTGTGTTTGATCCTTGTGTAAACATGAAAAAGATGATCAATGATTTCTTGGTTGCATTATTCTTGTGCTTTATGTGAAAAACATGTATTTGTTGCTAAAAAAAGTTTTAATGTTAAAGTTCTCTTCAGTTTTGAGCTTGATTTAGAAAATCAACCTCAAAAATATATGTAATGAAAAATTATATTATTATATATATATATTTATATTTATTGATGTAATGAAAAATATTTTGAGATGATCATCAATTCTTAAAGGTTTTGGTTTACTTTTACTACCTTCATCATAGTTTGTTAATTCAGCTAGCTTGCCACTATATACTATATCTCGTCGTAACTTTCAATAACACATATTTTATTGTTTTGGAAAAAATCCACAGTGGATGTAGCCCCATTTAGATAAATCACATATTTATTCAGCCGGCTGATTTGTTTGTGTTTGCATCATGGATAAATTTTCTGTGCTTGCTTTGTGAAAGCACTTGCATAAACATCAAAATGTGTCTTGTGCATAACATGTTGTTATTGAAGAAATGGTGAGAAATGATTAATAATTTTTGTCAGAAACAAAAAAATTTATGGTATTTAATCTAAAATTATAAATATTCTAAAGATATTTTTGCTCTGTATCTCAAGGATGATGACAACTATGTCAAATTAAAATCATTGCAAATACTTTATAAGATGCATATCTTATAATGTTGAAAAAATTGGATATGAGATACATCTGAAAGGAAATTTTATTGCTTAAATGAATGAAATATTATTCTGTTTGTTTTTTAGATAAGATACATAATGATTTACTTTATTGAATTAATATTTATAATAAATATATTCGTGTCCAATTAAGGCTATTGGGTATTTGATTTTTAATATAGAATGATTGTACAAAATTTTAAAATCAAAATCCAAAAATTGCAAAGTTCATAAAACTTTGCTGTAGTTTATTGAAATTATTTTTTTCTGAATACATACACAAATAGTTAAAAACTCAAAATTCATCAAAAGTCATTAAAAAATTTGATAAAATAATTGGTTCTATTTTTTACAAAATCGTGATAAAAAATTGTTAAAAAAGATGAAACTTTTTAGAAATAATTTCTTATTTTGCAAATATGTTGATATGTGGAAATCTGACTTACCATGTAAATGAAAAAATGGACAAATCACAACCTTTTTAATGCAGATAAAAATTTCTGTTAAAATTTATAAATCTGTACATATATATTCTTATTTGATGTAATCAATAGAATAAAAACTAAAAAATAATTCTTTATTTCATATTTTCTCTAAGCTTGAAAAATATGATTGAATAATACATTACGATAAAATAAGAACACTTACAGAAGATAAAAGATGTGTGATTCTTTTTTGAAATTGACGATTTCGCATAAGTCTTTTCATTTAATGTGGTAAAAACGGTTTTACATTTTAAATGATGCATAATATTTTGATATTCTCTAATGCTTAAGAATATCTGCAGCAAGTTTGAATTAAAATGATTCTAGTATATTTTTAATGCATCAATAAAACATATTGAAAAGAATGAAAAAAATTTGACAGAAATCTTACGAAGATAATTATTGCAGGAAGTTGAAATTTAAATTAGTGTTCCAGCTTGATTATACACTTCAATTCTCTACTTGTAAGAATATCACATTGTTATATTTAATATGAGATGTTGAAACATGCTGATCAAACTATTTTAAGACAATATTCAGTGTTAAAGCTGATGCAAAGTTTAAGTTGCAGTAATAATCAAATTCTGTTATGGATAGGATTTGAGATTTTGGTGGAAAGAAAGAATTAAATATCTACCTATAACTCTCTGGTTCCAGATCATTTGAAACAAATATCAATTTCAAATAGCAACATTATAAGCATTGATCCACTTGGTTAATCTAAAGGGATGTAAATACATAAATCCAATGTAGAAGACAAAGAAGGAAAAAGTTACCCGTACTATGATATTCCGCATACACAGCAAGACGAGAAGATTGATCATTGAAGCAGATGGGGATCCACGCAAACGGATTAACAAACAACACGAATGACTTTTTTAGGGGATTAGAAAATGTATCTGTAGGCTGAAGGCCGAGATCTGAGCATAAGTGCACGTTGGAGATGCAGTGCGGTGCTATACACCCTTCTCACATGCCGTGTACATGCATTTGAGTCTAAAATTAGGCCTCATGTCAGTCCGAAATGTAAAAATCAGACATCCGTATTATGAAACCATGTGACTAACGACGGCAAAAGCCAGGCCAGCTGCATGGGCACAAATTCCCGGAATTGTTTGCAAATAATTCCAGCCAAAGGCCTCACCCGTATAGTAACTGATTTTAAGTACAAGACCAGAAGCATGCGTTTCGTGAGCGTCGTCGATGCAGAAGGCTTGTGGACCTACACCACCAATTCATTGAGCATCAGATTTTTTTCCTACGAGTCTTCTTCTCCGTCTGCTTGCATTTGACACAAACCACTCAATGCATGTGAAGTACAAACATAATCATGTGATAAACAGAGACTCGCATCATCCCCCAACATGCTTTGCTTGTCTTGCAGGACCTGGATTGCAGGCACTACTACAAACACGGAGATCAAATTATTATATTGAGTTCAAAGAAGAACGCTGAATAATCACCAGCATTTACTATGGTGGATGGAGTGAAGCGTACTTTTCTTCTTTGCTTAGTCTTCAATTTCGTCTGTGCTAGAAAGAGGAGAATAGCATCAAACAGAAAAAATCATCTCTCAACAGAATGTGGAGTATCTTCAATGCCGACGGAGGATGATGCTCAGCCTGAGCAGATACGGCGCCGGGAGTCCTGGACCAGTCTTGCATGTCCAAGGCGATACTGTACAGGAAATCTGATCTACCTCCGTGTTCTCTGGTTGTATTTTCCAGATTGTGCAGGCGCTTATCAGATTCTCTATCATCCCTCACGAAGGTTACCGGGGAAATCATTTAGAACGGATGTATCACTATTATACGATGGGTGCAGTAGTATATTCAACCCCCAGCCAACCTTGTGCTGGGGAAGCAGAGCAGCAGCTCCCTTCCATATGCGAAACGTGGACGGGGACCACCTGCCTCACATGATACTTTCTTTGTCTATCGACATTTAAGTAGGATATGTCTGGCCTTGGATGGAGATCTGCGCCTCATGGTTGCTAAGCTTTTTACCAGGCGAGATCCATCGTTAACTGCCCATGATTGCTTTTGTGGCATCGGGGTCATGTTGCTTGGTTGCTTCTGCATTTGATTCTCTAATCATCTGTGGCACACCAGCTTGCAACGCCAGAAAGTTTATATCCATCCATGCCGTCTGAAATGCTCTCTCGATCACACTGGCATGACGTCCAGTCTGCTATGTCTTACGAGCATGGTGCGTGGAGAATTAGGCATCTGTAAAATGTGGCAAACATGGTCAGGTCAAGTGGAGGATTAGGCATCTGCACCATGTGGCCAAAAGCGGTTAGGGCTAAGAGCAGATCCCAGCGATTGTATCGGGAAACAAACTGCAGTGAAAGACCACGCTTGGAGTCTCAGGCGCCGGTCAGATGCATTAGCACTCCCTATAGAGGTGGCGCAAGACGACTCCGTCTCCGACACAATCCGCAAACAACGCTCGAGTGCGGACAAGATCCATGACGGGATCCGTCAGAAAGAGACCGGTCTCAGACAGTGGCGAGAGAATTTGTTCCTCGTAACAATAGCCCCGACGTCAGGATTAGAAAAGTGAAGGGCTGCCTTCCACATCTAGCGTCACATGTTAGATAGACTGATTCGGGTTGGATTTATTCGAGTGACCGCTCTCAGAACGAGCTCTTTTCGAGGAATTCCTCGCGAGAAGGCAAACTCCAGCACGAAGGAAGGAAGGAATGAAGTAAGCAAGAGCGTTCCAGCAAAGCAGCTAAGAAGACTAAGAAGCCTCGCTAGAGGCGGCAATGAAGCTTCGGTGACGTCACATGAACAAAAGCGATGTCAGACTCGTACGTCTGGAAGTCTCGGTATCCCCGTACGGTGACAGTTATATCTCGGGGCGATGAGGAAATCGTGTCTCCTGTCCAGGGTAATCAGTTCACCCTCAGTACCGAGAAGAATGAAGGCCCGAAGAATTTCGGCGATGATGAACCGAGCACCACCGGCCGTGGCCCTTGTGAGTTTGGTCTGGCAGCGAAAACGGACGAGGACGAGGCTTCCATGCTTTAACCACAGGAAACTGTCCTCGAGACGGACTTGTTTTGAGCCGCACGCATGACGGAGACAGAATCGTAATCCGTCGAATTTCATGCATGATGATGATGGCCTATTTAATTAAGAAAATGATCGGAAAGAGTTGTCGGGTCGGAGCTAGCCATCAAGAGGAGGAAGGTCAATATTCAATGCTCGATCGTCAAGCCCGCAGAGCTCCTTGTATGCTGCGCATGATTCTCGTTTCGTAGCGAGGCACGGAGAAGCGTCGCAGCGAACCAGTCGACATCTGGAAAGTAAACAGCTTAGTGAATGATGTCACTCCTGATTCGAGACCATAAAGTCCGAACTCCACATGGCGATTACACCTTCGTCATCGTCATTCCGTGACCGAGAACATCGCAGGTCGCTTTCCTGCTGCATCGATCTCTTGTGGAAGACTACGGTCTCGTTCTACATCTCGGATCCTTCTCCAACCGCAGCAGTAGGCGTGTGAGACAAGGTGACACACCGCCAATGGCACAGTACATACATACGAACATACTTGTGTACTGGAAAACCTTCATACGAGGAGAACGCAATGACCATCGAATGAGCTGTAAATTGCGGACTGTGGTTCTTACAATCGTGCTTCGGTGGGCACCGTCGCTGTAAAGCTCGCTCCTGATCCTGTTGCTTTCTGAAAGCTTTCTGGACGCGGTCGAGGTCGATCTAGGCCTACCGACAGAGACCGTCGTGACGATGTAGAAGCAAGCGATCATGTACAGTTTGCTGAAATTCTGATGTGCGATGGGGGAGTTGATGCGGATCTTACATTTCTAATGGAGCTGTGAGGGAGCTCTCATACGTGTCTCATTCGAGTAGCTCTACTCATGGAGTTGGACAGGGCATTGATTTCCGGGCAACAGGTCACTCGACCGCCTTTTTCGTTCAAAAGACCTTTCACTGTTTCGCTCATGCATGTAGCGGTCAAATGCTACTGTAGGGCCATAAGCCGAAGGGAACGTGGGTTGTGGGATGGGCGAGAAGTTCATCGAAGCAGACCTTTTATCTTTACAATAATTATGTCCGTTTTGAATATGTTTCACATGTCATCAGGCTGGGCTCGGAATGTACGATCATCAGACTCAGGGGCTCAGTCTCAGCCCCTGACTCACTCACTGACTGGCAGCAAAAGTGGCAGTGGCAGGCAGACAGACAGGAAAGGGATATATCATATATCCCTTTGCTAAGACATATATCATATAAGTATTAGTAAAAAACACATCTCTGCATATATGAATACATATATTACTAATACATATATCTTATATGTATTAGTAAAAGTGGAAAGGAAGTTGAAATTGATATGTGGGCACTGTCAGTTGCCATGGACTAGCTCACCTACATACTTACCAACCCCATGAACAACTGAGTGGCGCTGCAGAATGTATGACTTGAGCTGATGGGATCCGTTCAGGAGATCCGGGTTCTAAACTGCTTTCCTTTGTTTCCCTTTCCTCCTTTCTGTCGAGGCCGACATAAGGAACATTTGGTATTTGGGCTCAGACGTACTTGTTCGGGATGGGTTGGCTGATGACTGCTGACACCGTTGACACTCATGATCGATGGCACTTGTGATTCCAGAAGTACGTCCCAGGCCGTTCGTTTTCCTTGCTCCTTAGGTTCCAGAAACCCTCCCTGCTCGAGAGATGCTTTCCGTGAATTGAGCTCGTACGTGTTTAATTGGACCGGGCACTCCATCCATCCTATTCCTGTTCCTCCATCGCCAGCTGAAAACGCGTACGCTTTTCCAACAAGATTCTGTATTTCGCCACAGTCACGTCGCATCTTCGTAGTCTGTAGTCTATTAGTAAAGTATTTTTCTGCGATTTCATTGGTTTCCCTTGCGAAAGGTTTGCTGAACCGTAGAAGCAACAGATCTTCGGGATCTAATCCAGGACGGCTTCAGCTGCAGCTGCAGATACTCGACGCTGAGTGGCTGGCACGGGGCGGACACTTTCAAATGCTCGATCCTGTTGTACTACGAGGCATATTGCATACGGTCTCATTCTTCTGTACAATTCTTGCCTTCGGATACGTGGACACTTGAGCTGCTGCCAGTGTATTGTAACTGGACCAGAACAATTATCAGACTTACATCAAACACTATCACAGCAAATTGAAACTGAAGTTGATTCGACGATCGGTGAATTATGTGACAGCAATATTCTATTAAGTTGAAATCTTGCTGTTGGGCTCCTTTCATTCGAGTTTGTAAAAGACGCTGTTAATAATATGAATATGCCCCATCGGCTGAAATTCCTTGTGAAAGAAAAGGAAGATGTCTCAAACGACATCCCAAGGGGCAGAGAAGGGCTACAAAACGTCGGAAAAAGCCGAAACTCTTTGGAACACACTTTTTCCCGGGAGGCTTGACAATGGCTGCTTGCTCTTCGGTGCGAGAACCTAGAACTAACCCAGCCTTTTACGACAGCCTAACTTCTTACTAGCTAGACAAGGAATGTTACCGACTACATGCTCAAACACGAGGTGTTCGGATTTAACAGAATTCTCTTCTACTCCTCGTAGCTCCTGCTGATGGAAAGGTGTGACAAATCGTGAACACAGGTGAAGTTTCGAGGAGATCTCGACGTCATACTGAAGACAGAGGATTTGCCCAAGTATCTTCTGTCCACATCCCCTTCTTTTCCATGATCAGCTGAAGACCAACACCATTAGTTTCATTCTTGTCGTCGAGAGAATGAGATGGTTTGAGCTGGCCGCACACTCTAGGCACAAACTGATAAAGTTTACTGGATCAGCTGTGACAGTGTTTAATATATAAGAATTGAAGACTAACTATCGTAGAGGCGGGTGGATAGGTGTCTTTCTAAATATGCTGACGCGGTAGCAAAGTCCCTGACAAGATACGGATGATTGATTCGAATATGAATCGTCTTTCGGACAAATTTTTGGCTAAATTGATCAACTCCATTGCTTGCGGATCCTTACTCGCGTACCAGAGCCCTTCATACTTTGGGTTTTCTCTTATTGGACTTCTGGCATTTCTTTTGATTTCAAGAGGTCACCAAGATCAGATACTGATGGAACATGAATTCAAACTACACTTTTGTTTATCACATTCAGGCTGATCGGGCCTGCGGAACAAGCAAAGTCGCTTCTCGAGATCTGCTCCAGATGAAGAGCAGACATTCCTAAACCGTTGACGATGCCCAGAGTTTAGCGACAGGAAAAAGGTTCCAGAAAGAGCTCAGCATATGCAACTCTTGTTGGAAATTAGACGCATAGATATGCACATCGATCCACATGTCATCTAGCTTTACTCGGTATCTCTTACTTTCGTGAGGGCAGAAGCTGAAGTCTGCACTGCGATCAATGATTTCACACTCTCCATCTGGTGTTGCAACGTGGTCTCACACAAACAAATGGCGGTGTTTGCTTCTACCCGCTTCCGAAGGAAGAGACTCGAATCTTCACAAAGTTATCACCTCTATAATGCCTTGGGCCAATGGATTAACGAGTGTCCTCAGCTGTCTGGGCATTCCTCATAAGCTATCAAGCCTGACCCAGACTGCGTCCCTTAGCTCCCTTAGCTCCACGATTCAATCTTATGCATATGGCAGAAGCTTCCAGTAATATCGATCAAGCTTTGAATCCCAATAGATTCCGGAACTGAGTCACAATTCTGGAGATCTGAAAGTCAGCAGATGTGATCAAACATCAGAGGTAGCACAAAGAATGCAGGCAGCTCGGATGGTTGCTACGGTAGCTCCGGGTGACAAATATCAGACCGAATACCGAAAAGGTCTGGTCGGCAGTGCTTGCACAGCCTTTCTTCTTTGAGATACTCTTCGAGCTTGATAGCAAAGGAGCTTGCAGAGCTTTTTGCAGTGAGAAGAGCAGGACATATCTGGAGTATCACGGCACCTCGCGAAGTTAGTAACGAGACTCTTGCACTGCCAACTGATTCAGTCGAGGTTCTTTTGGCTTCCACAAGTGTTTCGTAGATTCACATCCAGATCTGCACGGGAAGCCAATCGGTAGAGAAGAACGCGTTCTCATGGATCCTGGGTTTGTTCAAATCTCAGTCAGAATTATGTAGCTTAAATTATATCTGTATAGTGGCTAGCAAGCTCAACATGCCAGCCGATCGCATACGCAGAAGGATACGTAAGACTTGATCACGAAGCAGTTCTGGATAATATAAATGCGTCTTTTCTCTCAGGGTGATGCGAGTGAACGTTGCTCCATGTTGAGGGTGTTTGGTGTTCCAGCCTTTGCTCATATCTCAAAGGAGAGATGGAGCAAACTCGGATTGAAGTCTAAGAGGCTTATCTTCATTAGATATGAAGAAGTGTTGCTCAACCCAAAACTAATCATCTAACTCGATACAGGGATGTGTAATTGGAGAAGCAGAAACAAGAGAGGCATCACACAAGGAGTACATGCTTCTTCTGTTTCTATACCTGTGTTTTTACCACAAACAGGTGCGGGTGATAATAGATATGGAACATGATCACAAGGTCATGACAGTATTTAGGAAATACCTGATCCTGAAGATGGAGAGAGTGTGGTACCTAAAGTAGACTTGGGAGAATAGGTAGATGAAGTGCCTGATGCTCAATTGGAGCATTTTCCAATGAAGGTATACATCAGGAGGACGGAGAAGGATGGTAAAGAGGGTACAATACAAGTTGCAAGATCGAAGGTTTCTCTATAGGAGGAAGAGATTGCACCTAAAAGATCCAGTGGACAGAAATTTCAAAGGTTGACAGCTTCAGAAACAGATACTGTTTCCCTAAAAGATGATATTATCATGGAGGAGTCCATCTCTGATCCTGTCAATGATAAACCCTCATCATATGTTGAAGCATCAAGAAGATCAGATTGGAAGAAGTGGGAGCAGGATGTACGTCAGGAGATTGAACCTCTACAGAAAATTTCACAACGGGAGACTATTGGATGCAGATGGGTCTTCATGGTGAAAAGAGGAGTTGCTGATAAAATTTTGAAGTACAAGTCAGGCTTACTTGCCTGGGTACAAGCAACAACCTGACCTGAGATTACGATGAAACCTTTGCCCTGTGGCAAGATATGGTTCCATCACAATGCTGTTAGCTCTAGCAGTTGAAATTAACTGGGAGGTAAAGAAACTAGATGTGGAGACAACCTTCTTGAATGGAGATATGGACGAAGGAATCTACATGGATATACCAGATGGCTACTCCACCACACCTGAGATGTAAAAGATGCTTGCTCAAGAAAGCTTTGTATGGGCTGAAGCAAGCTGCTAGGAGTTGGTACTAGAAGCTTGATTGTTATTGGAAGATGCACGGCTTGAAGAGAGGAGAGTATATATCAAGAATGAAGAACTCTACATAGCAGTCTATGCAGATGATTTCTTGTTGATGGGAGGGGAGTAAGAGTTATAAAGAGTGGAATCTATCATCTTTATCCACATTCCAAATGAAAGTACTTGATCCTGTGAAATTTCTCCTAGTCATCCATATCTTCAGTGAATGTTTGACTCGTAATGTGTTTTTCAGCCTTTTGACCCTTTGGGTCCCACGTGCTTGATCTATTTATGATTTACAGAAACATAAAGGAACGATGGTCTAGGCTAAACCAAGTACGTTGAGCGGCTTCTACATAGGTACAGATGGACGATGGAAAGCTGTTTCTTCATGGAACATACATGTTTCTACATGGAACATAGCTGCAGGTTGAAGGAGGTGGATGAATCTAGCAAAGAAACCATTCAAGACTTGCAGTTCCTATATCGCAGTGCACTAGGTTCACTTAGTTTTTTTAGGGTGTGTGCACGACCAGACAAAGCTCACTCAGTGGGAGCTCTAGCCAAGTACACTAATTGTAGGACTACCTGACATTGAATTTGTCTCAAGAGAGCACTAGTTAAAAGTCACTCTAGTTATGTTTTTGAATATGGAAATCAGGTTCTCAACCTATTCGTAAGGGTTTTTTCTGATGCTAGTTGTGGCGGCAATCCTTCAGTGGTTGCTTGTTTACTTTGCGTGGTGGATTCAATACTTGGGAAAAAAAGTAGGGTTGGTCAGTAGCATTGTCGATTAAAGAAGCTGAAAACATGGCTTAATTCCTGGCTACTCAAGAGCTTATTTGGTCCACAGAAGTATGTTGAATGAACTAGGTTCTGTTCAACAAGATCGAACAGTATTGATGTGTGAGAACAGTGGAGCTATTTTCCCCACGAATACCCAGCCATCATCCTCCTTTTAAGCATATCTTTATCCTTGAAGAATTTTCAAATCATGATCAAAGAGGAATACATGATCAAACTAGTTGATTGTGCAACTGGAAATAAAACTGCTGATGTGCTAACCAAAGCAATAAAAAAAGAGAAGCATAGGAAATGTAGAAGAGATGGGTCTGTTTCTGACTCTTTATTACATGAGAGTAGTTTTATTCTATCTCATATTCAGATCACAGCAAAACATTGTCATCTGGTTTAGAGTTACCCTCGGCTAAGGAGTCATGAGCCACCAATGTTTAGGGTTTCGGATTTGTGTATCTACTTTGCTAGATATTTTGTAATGCAATAAAAGTCAGAAGCTTGCTTTTCCATCGATCATTCCTTGAAATACTTGGCACAACTCTGAGCACTGGGTTGCTAACATTGTAGCTGATTTGCAGTTGGTATGACTACAAATGTGGGGAATGCTAGTTAGATTGTTCTGACCTCAATACTGTTGCTAATATTCCACGTGAGTGGAGAGAGTATATTAGTAGTAAGCAATGGCAGGTTTTAGAGAGTCTACTACAGGACCTGCAATAGTAGAAACACCATCCATAATTTATCCTCATGGATCTCACTCTCAAAATGACGTTGAAAATTATTAATGCGTCTCATTCTGTAAGGGCAATGAGAGTGAACGTTGCTCCTAATCCATGCCCAATTTCACACTTCGGCGTTCATGACCAATTCTTACGCTACTGTGCAAGATACTGGATCTCAGGTCGGTGATCAGGATCTACTCGGTGAGTGCGAATAGTTTTCTGTCTGTCTTTTCTGCATGTGATTCTGAAACAGCCATCACTCTGTCGGGATCGAGATTGATGTGTCAAAAAGCAAATCTATGATCATTAATAGTGGAAAACTTAAATGTATAATTCGCTACGAAGTTAGGTTTCAAATGCCAACGAGGACTGATAGTTGACAGTTCCGAGTCCGATCTGTCAAATAAGTGACTTAGGTCAAGAAGATCGGATACGAGGATTTTATGAAAAGAAGAAAAAGAAGAGAAGATCAGTAATGGCGATTCTATTCATTCATTCAATCACGTGATGCGATGCGATTCATGGCGGTCAGCATTTCGATAAAGAAAAATGCTTGCTTGCCCAGCACTGAACACCTGGGACCAACAAACGTGGGTCTGTACTTGCGAGTGGAGTCGAAACGAAATTCTATTACATACTACTATCAGTATTATCTTGTTGCAAAGTTTCGCAGTTACATAAAATCCGACCATTATAGAAAGCCTCTTCTCAAAAGGTCGACGGGAAAATGATTTTCTTCTCCAGTCCGATCGCTGGCATCCTAGTAGCCGCTCCTCTTCGCATGCATCCATATTCTTCTGTGTCCCTTCTGTGGAACAAGATTATAATCTTGTTCCACGAGTTCACTTTTATTAACACGACTAACTGATCGTCTGATTGGACCGCAACTCGCTCAAATGGATGGAAGCCGATCAGGTGAGCAATCGAATGAGATTCTTGGCCTGAAAAAAAACGTTGCGAGCCAACTCGATAGATCGATGTCTGACGGCATGCTTTCTACGGGCCTCAAGCTTTGGCTACTACGAGCAAAGAGCTGCTGGCAGCGCTAGCGCTCACAGCAGCTCACGGTTTGCCCAGCAGCTGCAAGCCACTCGTATATGTGTAGCTATTTAGGCATCAGCAGCAGTAGCAGCAGCAGCAGCAGCAGTCACATGTAGCAAGGCACAGATTGCACAATCAAACACAACTTATATTATTGCTGTACCTTCGTAGACAATCATATCTTTGATCCCATGGCCTCAATGATGGTTCAAGTAGGAAGACACGGCGTGCCTGCGTGCCTGCCTGCCTGCGCAGATGCATGCAGCCTGTCTCTGCCTCCGCCTCCCCCTCCGCAACTACTTTCGACTTGCCATCAGTTAACTGGCTAGCTGTAGCAGCACTCACTCCAATCTTAGCCCTAGGTTTAAATATTACCAAAAACTCCACTCTGATCTCGAGGCCGAGACCAGTGTCGCACATTCAAACCAACACAGGGACTGTTCAAATTATGGAGGCGTGGGTCGCAAAAAAAATCGCTGCACACAGCGACAAACGCTGCTGCTCTACTCGTTGAGCGGCAGAGCAGTTGCAAGTACCTCTGGGGTCGACACCACTTGCCAAGTTCATCCTCATTCATTGTGATTACTGCGCTCTTTGCCCTTGTGCTCGTCAACTCGAGTCTTACGTTTAGTATTACAGTCCCAACCGAGCGAGCGAGCAATGATTGCGTTTGTCATGTCGAGCGGCTAAGTAGCAATTGTTTATGAAATGATCGTACGCGCACAATTTCTAAATTCAGCAGAATCTCGTCCTTGTGAAGAGTGAGTGAGCTTAACGTTAGCTGGAAAAGCGATCATGCTTGTCATTGTTGCCATTGATTCTTCAAGCACAAGGTGAACCTTTCGAAAAGTTTGGAGCTGCTTTGTTAATGAACTAGTTTATTCACCAATGGTTCATGGTTGATCAGACGATCACATGTAAACTGTCAGCTGCTTCCTTTTACCAGATTCAAACTGCAGAGAGGCCACATGCGCTCAGCAGCGCGCGTAGTGATAGTGTTGAATCTGTGACGTACTCGGCGACTGCTTATAGTAACCCGTACGGTTCCATGTCTCGTTCTTGCTTGAGGCGATATTATGATCAATAGCCTGGAGAATGAAATGCATCGCTCGTACAACACTTGGAGCCGTAACTCTACAGATGTAGATCTGGATTGTTGTCAACTTGGAATGCAACGAGGCAGGAACAGCTATTGAGTAGATCCAGATACAGATCGGTATTCGCATAAAACTCCACGGAGTTGATCATGACCGCGAGTGGCTGCTGCGTTGGTTTGTTACTCTTCGTCCTGGCCGAGCACATACTGCACACGTACACCTGTAATGCATCGTCACATGCGTCGTCTCAGTGAGCACAATCTCCAGCTCCCTCATGTACAGCAGGTTCAATCCTTTAGCCTCCAGCCGTAAGACGATCTTGGAGCTGGAGCCTCTCCGACCTACTTCAACATACAGGCTCCTCCGTGAAGACGTCATTTAGGTTCAAGCTATCAGGTTTCAACAAAATCTGATAGACACGCCAATCTGCTGTCACTCACTTCATCCCATGCGCATACATACTACGCCAGAGGTTACTACGTTTCACTCTGTAGAATCAAAATACCAGACGCCGAGTCTCATCTCTGGATCAAGCTAGATAAGTCAATGACAATCTGACAAAGGGCCAAGGCATAGAAGAAATTCTTGTCATATTTATCCTTCACGTTCCAGCTATCTATGGATACGATTAAAAAAACCATTTTCCCGCAAGCGCTTTTGAGCTCTAAATTGAACCCGTGAAAATGACCACGCTCAGCTTGTTGTCGAAGGAACGGATCGCCAATATCAGCTCAAATGAAGTAACTATGTTTCCTCTACTACAATGGCATGTAATACATGATTTGCCAGTTGCACTCAAACGCTTGTGAATCAGACATCTTGCGAGAATCAGAAACTGATTCAAGTACCTCAAAGACTCTGAGCTTCGTATTATTGGTCGACAAGCCAGATTTGAATATCAATCAACAGGCCGCAATCGGCTTGGAGCTCAGGACTCAGTATTGCCGTGCGATCTATTTTATAAGATTATATACTGTGCTGTAGCAGCTTTCTCGATCTCTCGTTGCACGTGGTCTGCTAGAGATGATTCCCCAGATTCGGTCTTCATGATCAGTGCCTAGGATTGGACTTATCCTAGAAGCTAGCATCCTGGATCTCGAGTTCTTTCGTGGAACTGATGTGCTCAGCTCCATCTCCATCGCCGTCTACATGAGCCAGTTGTGTGAAAGTGTTGAAGAATTCTGTCCAATCTTGCAACACGGAGCACGGAACCGATCGATTAGCGCCAACAACTCTAGGTTACAAGACCCAGTCAAAGAAGAATCAACGATGCGTCAACATTCGTGGCCGATGTCTAGGTTTATCCCTAGGGCTTATCCAAAGTTATGATGATCATGCAAAAGCGTCAATAATCCGGATTTCTGCCTCGATCCAAACTTCGCAACAAGACTTTGAAATTCCAGTCTGCTAGCATGCGGCCTGAAAGGGTCCCTATCAAGGAATTCCGCAAGTTGCAAGGGAGCTGTTTGTAGACCGACACTTCTGAGCCACCAGTTCAGGTTCGTGGAAACAAGATCAGTACCCAACCCTTGAACTCTGAGCCGATTTTGCATATAAAATACTCTATGGGAAAAAGGCGCAGATGGGAATTGCGGGGCCGGGCGATGGCCTCCCAGCCCTAATGCTCTGCTCCTTCGGGATGCTGCACAAAACCAGCAAAACGTGTTCTTTGCAGCGTCTCCAATGTGTACCACTTTGTGGGCTAATTGGGTTGTACATGCACACAGAGAGGCCACTTTTGTTTTTGAAGCTTGCAGTCTTCCATCTTCTAGATGACTATTGCCCACAGCTGAGGTAGTCTAGACTAGGTGATGATCTTTGCACTGATTGACTTTACGGGCCGGAAGAGTTCAGCGCTTCCTTAGAAGCCACTTTTGTCTTTGAAGCTTGTAGTCTTCCATCCATTAGACGACCATTGCCACCAGCCGAGGTACTCTAGACTAGGTAATGATACTCGAATTGATTGAATATAGGGAGCGGAGGAATTTTGCGACACCTCGAGCTGCGGTAAGCCTGTCGAATTTACTGAACGACCTCAAAGCATTGTCCTGCTCATAGGTTAGCAATCTGCTTTCAGTATGAACGATGTCTCGTTTTTTATGTGCGTCGTGAGCTTTTGTAGTTTGAATGTCACGAGTCTCAGGAGACTCGTGGCATTCAAGCACAATGTCATGCACGTGGAACGATAAACTTCAGTGCAAAATCCTGCTGGCTATACTGAAACATGTGATTAGCTACAGATAGATAATTCGCATGATAACCTCAGCCTTATCAAGACCTGCTTTCTATACTGAATTACGAAATGTGCTGAAGATAAATAATGCCATGTAACCTCAGGTGCCTCAACTCCCTCCAGTGTGCTGTAAGTCGATGTTTTGAGACGAATAAAGTCACCGTATGTACTTGAATATGAACTAAATCTTCGACATGGGTATCATTGAATAGAAAGAAGTATGTATCATCCAGCCAAAACACCTGAGAGCTGGTGCAGTAATCCTACACTAGTTATCAGGTGTTTTGACTGGATGGTTCGTACTCCCGTCTGTTCATACTTGATGTTGGTGTAGTCATCCTACCTGAGAATCTCGATCCTACTTTTCTAGCTCCTCAACGTACTGAAATTGCTGCCTTAATGAACTCGTTACCATTCTGGAAGCCAAAAGCACCATGATCCATGATCATCATCCGGATATGGAAAACGATCGGAGCTAGCTAGGAGAGGCTGAAAAACACCGAGGACTAGTTTTGGATGTGGAATTTTGCCAGTATTGCGTGAATAAGCAGTAACATTCTGTGGAAAAACTTTTGCTCATAATCAGAACATGCTCACCGACCGGACAAGCAAAATGACGAAACTTGCCTGCCACATCATCACGGTCACCAGCGAGAAGCAGCAGAGAGCCTTGAAAATGAGCCGCTTGTGGACACGCTTTGAAAGAGTCGAATGTCAGGAGAGTCTCAACTTCACATATAATACTCAGTTCATAAGCCCTACTAGCTCTTCACTAGTGATCAAGATCGCTTTCAAATCCTGATGGTTGAACTTTAACGTGCTCTTTCAGGGAATTGGGTGCACCCCTTCTGCGCAAAAGACTTACACTGCTTTTTATACACGTTATACATCTTGCTATACACCACTGCATGTTATTCAACTTGTGACATATGCCGCATACATCGAAATGACATTGTTATCCAGCCTTCCTTCTCCAACACAAGTGATGGAAGTATCGTATCTGGTCACCTCCCGTAGAAGCATGATTGTATCGAAGCGCATGATTTCATAAAGGTTACAATACCATCCGCTTATATGGAAGCTTCTCTAACAAAGTTTATTTTTTACTGAATTTTAAGGAACGGTCCAGTGAAGATTTCTTGCTCTTGCGTCAAACCTTTTTGTCTGGACCAGTCAAATTAATGCATGCCCGATCCGTGCTGTAAACACGGGCTTCTTAAACGGCCTTCGAGCTCAGATGGTCCGCACTATCTTAGTTTCTTAGGGTACTAGTTTCTATATCATCATTAGTCCTTCGCACGTCTTCTTCATCATCATTGAAATGAACATGGAATGTTCAGAAGAAAGAGAAAGTGATGGCTCTTAACTATGTAAAGATCAACTGGTGTACAACATGTAAGAGACTCGTCGTTTTATGGATCTTAAAGGACCATAAGGTTAAAACAAGCTGCCAGCTTCGGAATAAATATTGTAAAAGTTATGCATGCTTCTATATGCGTAGAATGACGAGCGCTTTTCGTGCTACATTCCAGTTGTATCATAAAGATCTAACCCTGTGTTGCCCTTGCAAAAATATGGGGATGAGTTTACTGTGCTAGAAGAAACCATATGGCGCCACACATTCGGGAAAAAAAAGCCGGAAATCAGTGCAATCAGTGTTTATTAGGGGCCAGATCTCATGTTAGTTCAAGCAGCTCCCCCCATCCAAATACAAGTTTGCAAGCATGGCCGGAAGATGTCTGTGGGTTGAGGTACTGGCGACTTAAACGAGACATTGAAATTTTCTCTGACGCTCTCTGACCGGCAAGCAACAGCGATTGCAAGACCATGACCAATGTGCTCCACGATTGATTAATGGCCACAACTCAGTACTACGCTGTGCGTCTTGTGGTGGGATGAATATATGACATCTGTTTAAATTACAAAACTTCAGCCATTGAACTTTTTTAACCACTGCTCACTTAATAGTTTATGTGGGAACACTGGAAGAAGGAGGACACAAAGCTGGTGTCCAGTACAGTGAAATATGCTCTGGACACTGGACTGGAAACAAAGTGGCTTTGCACCGCCACCACACGGCCAAACCTCTGAGGACTTTCTGTGATACTGATTCGACTGCTGCAGGTCCTCAGGTGGTATTTCCAAGTAAGCTCGATGTCTTGATGAAGGAAGGCTTCTGCCGAGGAAATCAGGAGGTCGAACCGTGGATGGGAAACCATGTCCAGATAGTTCGCAAATCACACTCATGTAAGGGTCCGATATAAGACCACCTGTGCAGGACTTTTGATCAGATCCAGACAGACAACCACGAAATTATTCCCTTGTTTTGTGATTGATCACGTGGTTGGAATCTCATTGAGTTCCAGAACCCTACTCGAGCGATTTCGCTCATGGCCAGTGAATAGGCCAAAAGAATCCAGTGCAATGGAGCAACGCATGGCGACTGTAGACCGTGCCGTCCGATTGCAACACATTAGTTTTTATATATCATTGCTGTGGACCTTGCTTGCGATACATGACTGTTTTGTACACATGGAACGCCATAATTTAATACGAACCGGTGTACCAAGGGATGGCCTGAATTGCATACAGTGGCCGGAGGGATATAAATTGAATGACCTGCTAACAATGTGCATGGAGTACGAGTACCTCGACTGCACAGAATGCACCTCGCGTCTGGCATGAGCAAATGGTGACACTGCGATGATTAATGATGCTGGCAGAAGGCAGAACGTGCAGACCTATGCTACATCTGAAGCCTGAGTGTTGTGTTTCTAACCTGCTGTAGCTCAACTGATTAAGAAGTGCGCATGCCAAATACGCGCTCATGATGGAGCTACTGTACCATGGAACTTATGCAGAAAAATTGACTCTAAAATCACCTCCGATGTTGCATCCATCTGAGCATTGAATGTCCTGAATATCAGACTCCAGATGGCCTCAGATAGCTGGTGCCTTGAGCACAAGAGCTCCGTTAGCGCTTTTGGGAGAGCAGAAAAAGATCAGTCGGTCCGGTCTGTACGTGAACAGAGGGTCCGGTGCTGTCTCAAATTCGTGATTCGTTCAGGTGCTGATTCGTTTTACGAGCCCGATATCCGATGGTGGGTTCGGTGATGACCTTGCGGAGAGAAACATCGATCTCGACAATTGAAGGCCAAGTGGATAGTTTCACAATGCTCAGCACAGTGCCAAATGCATCGCTCGACTTTTAAGAACTCAGAACAAGGGAGGGATGGATTGTGACTTGATTTTAAAGCGTAGAATGTAATGTTGGGCCCTGTATTGTCGGAGATCGAGAAAGGTATTCGAAGTCGACCACCTGAAAAGCGTCAGATATGGATGTTCAGAGGTCGCCTACCAGCAGACATCTGAGATATTTGATCAGATAACGGAGTAAGGCCCTGATAGAGGCAATATAATACGGTTCTGACGAGCACACAGTGATCGATGCAGTGATTCATAATAATTTGGCCATGAAACAAAGGCTATTTTAAAGCAGCTCGAAGGCCGGAGATACAAATTTGATGACCGTACCAGCACTAAGTAGTTTCACGCATAGATTCTGTTGTGTCTGCAGGCCACGTACTAACATCATTCAATAATTGTGGGCGTGAGCGTATGACAGCCAATGATGTTTGAACTTAGAGGGAGGGAGGGAGGGAGGCAAATGAGGAGAAGGGCTGAACTCACGGTAACACTCAGACAACATAGGACTGAAAAAATCTACCGTCTTGGAGATCAATCATTTCGCAAGCTCCACAATATCTTATCCAAGATACAAGATTACGATTCGACCGGCCATGCACTCAGAGGATTTCTGAACGAAGAAACAGACTGACAAATTTATGTCTTCCTCGCTCTTCAGTAAGTTGCAACCAGCGCATGTGAACTCTTGACCATGTCCTGAGAGCTCGAGGCTCTGTAAGACTTTGAGACATGATAGCGGACAAATTTTGAAAAAGAAATGGCTCGAGAAAAAGCTAGAAAGCCAATTGAGTGTTTAACTGAGCTTGCAGCTCCATTCTATTAATTTCTTGGCTCGAACAGATACACTATTATAAAGTATCGAAAGAATAAATGCGAATCTACATGTGAGATCATTGTTCTCTATTTGACCTCCAGGATTTAAACGCACTCTATAAGAGGAGTGGCCCCAGCTTTTCTAAATTGCAACCCAATTGCGCCAGGTTCAGCAGATTCGATACCGCTTCCTGCGCATGCCTTTTTATCTGGAACGTGAAATGTGCAGATGAACAATGCTCAACGTACTGAGAGGGACAATGTCACTTAGTACTAAATACGTTTTCTTCCAGTGGATGGCTAACTAGCCATGGATTGTTCCAAAAGCCGATGTAGCCATTCCAATAAAACTGTTCACAGGAATGCTTTCTCAGGAGTCCACAGCAGCTATCTTCAACAGAGTTGCTATTTGGGCCGACGAAACAGCGTGAGCAGTAGAGCAATTTGAAGTTGGCTGCACACAAACCCCAACACACAACCACAACCGAAACAGTGTGTTAGCAATAAATAGAGTAAGTTGCAGCTATCTTATGCCAGCTCTAGAGTAAGTTTCACTTCTTTGGAAGTTAGTGAAACTTCTTTTCCGTAAGGGAAACTTACAGGAGTGAAACTTCCAATGTGGCAGCTACACGCATTTGAGCTAGCTGTCTACGTTTCAGGAAAGACTGCAAGGGTTACTGACTCACTACTGTATGTGGAGTCCAACACCGTAAATATGCACCATCAAACTCTCTACCAGCTTTGGAACTTGGCCTCAGAGGAGGTCTCACAATTCCAAGTAACAGCAAGTAATGGGAGTAAATCATCAAAGATAGAAGGTGAGTGCGACGCAGTGAAGGCAATTCAGGGTCCATATTACTTTCTGGACGAAACTTGGTGCATGTGGCTGTCGAAATTTCTAGAAGGCAAATCATGCAAGGTTCAAGCACAGTTGGAGTTAAAGTTCTCGTTTGAACCTTAATTACTATGACGCAGATCACGTAGTCATGCAGCTTCGTAACACTGCACCGGTGGAGACTCAGCTGCAGCTGGTCGAGAGTTCTCATGACACTGCTCAAGTAGCTATATCTGCATTCACACTTGACAACTTGCACCTGTTCACCCGGTCTGTCTACTTGCACGTGAAGCTCCACAGAAATTGGACCGCGGCTTGGAAGAGGTTCGCTTTTAGGCGTTAGACCCAGCAATGGTGAATCTGAGAAGCCACCGCTTCCTTCGAATTCAGCCCGGCCGCTCTGAGTGCCACCTATGTTGAAAGAAGTGGTCGATGTCGTCCTCGTCATGGGCCCCAGGCGAAATCTACCCGAAGTCCTCGAGGCGTTAAGCACGGCCCGAGAACTAGAAAGGTTTCTACTACTGCTAGCAAAATCCACGTTACTACTGCTACCTAAGCATGACCATTTCTTATCTTGCGCCCCAGCTTCTGCTCTGCGCTTCGCCTCTTGCAGCTGACCTTGCAGCGCTTTCACCTTCTCCTGCAAGGCCCTCACGTAGTGTATGCCGTCGTGCACAATGGAGACCCTGTCCCGCTGCAAACACCGACAAATTTGCAAAGGGAATCAACATTCCTGCACTGGACTTCATCCTGAGCCTTCCTCACTCACTCGCTCGCACTCGCACGAGAGGTCAGATGTGGAAAGTTAGACTCGTGACGTCTATTTTAGTAGTGATGATCTAGGAACGAGATCATCACAACTTTTGGCTCGAGCATATTGCATTTGGATATGACAATTCCAGCCAGCACCTAGAGAGTGCAAGGTCTGCTCAGACCATAATGCATTGTGCCGAGGTGCGGAGATTGGATTTGCACCTTGGCACAATTGCAACTCATGATCTTCCGCTACGTACATCCATACATGCCGGAAATTATCTACGTGTCAGATGTCAGCTGCTCCGTACTCAAGCACGGCGGATGAGAACTGGATCATGAGACTGTCCTTATCATGAGCCTGAAATGGACCCTCAGCTGAACTGAGCTGAGCATTTAAAAAGAAGAACAAATGGACGACGCCTTGGGAAAGGAACAAACTTTGGAAGCAGGCGGGAGAAGAGTTTCCAGTGTGGCAATTTTAGCACTCATGTCGTCCCGTCGTTGGCGTTCTCTCTGGACATGCTCTAAATGTCCAGACAACATGTCGGGAACTCGGGAACCGTTCAGCTGTCGCTTGCCGAGAGTGAAGTCCGTCGGTGTCTTTGCCACTCGTAGAGCTTGATGATAATTGGCGGCCAAGGACTGCGAGCTCATTCCTAGAGACATTTGCTGTTCAATTCTCGAGGTCGATGCTGCAGCTCTAAAATCTCCTCGCCCTCGTCCCCTAGCTTGGAATCTTCTGAGATCAGCTGTCGGAGGCCTGAAGGAATTCCTAAACGGTGCTGTTGCTTTATTGTTCTGGCCCAGAGAGTCTGCCATCGCAAGTGGTGCCCCGGACATGCTGCCTGGGAGTGTCCCTGAGGCTGCTGAGAGCCTTGTCGAATGTGGGCTAAATTTTTGAAAGCTAAACGAATCCGCAGAACTGTCGCATGAAGTGTTGGAGGAGGCCAAGTGATAGGTAAGAGGTTTTGTTGTGTCTTGCGTGTTCCCGGGTACAACAACCAGCACATCACTGCTGTTGCAAGGGCCGTTTGGATCTGGAGCTGCTTGCCATCTTCCACCATGATAACCGCCATAGAGCTCGTCTAACTGCGCTGGGCTGCTGCTGCCGAGGTACTGCAAGTTCAGGCTGTGAGGCATCGACGGTTCATAAGCAGGAGCCTCGCGTGACGAGAACATCTCATTCACCACAACATTTTCGTGCTCGTTCACGTTGAAATGATCAAATGTGGCGCATGGTGCTGAGGCATGCGCAGACGACGACGATGACAGCGACAGCGCTGAATCTGGCCATGAGCGGAAACCGGAGTGGTCGGAACTATCCCCGTCCATGGGCATGTTGTCCTGGACCCTCCATTTAACATCCTGATAGCTCTCGTCTTCGGCTGCTGGTGCTCGGACGCCGAATTTCTGCTGGGGCAAAACGAACTGAGCACCACTTCCAAATGGTTTGAATGCTCCTGACGAGAACTCGGACATAATTCGGGACCTGTACTCTAGCGCGTCTTGGGCAACGAAGACAACCGATGACATGATGACCACCGCCTTGCACCAACATAAGTCATCCGCTAAAGAAGCTGAGGGCCGTTTCCTCCAATTGAAGCCCCAGTGGTCTAGATCAGATCACTGCACACGCCAGGCCCACCAAACAACCGACGAAAACCAGTTAGTGTGAATTCATCTGCTTCACGACTGCTCGATACACAGCTGCAAAGGACAATCTCAGCTCCAAACACATTCGGCTTAACGAAGAATTATAGTTTCCTCCTATTGATCCTATGCTTGGCATGTTGATTTGAGCTGTAAATTTACATTTCCCAAGCTCGCATTCGCCTGAGTGTACAGGATTGGACATAACAATTTGGTCTCTATGGATATGGACCGGGAAGGTGAATTTCAATGCAACTCTAATTTCGAGTACCAAAAGTGTATGCTTGACGAGCATTTCTTGAACATCATCTGCTGTGAATCAACAAGCTCGAGACGTCTATGCATGTGTTTAGATCAGTGCGTCCCTCCCTCCTTCCCTCTGGAAGCCTAGTCTAACCTGCTGCACCTGGCGGAGATACTCCTTTGAACGATGACAGCTCAACAGAGATATTAGAGGTATGGATATCTACCCGGACCGCGAAAGGTTCAGACTACCATGACACTATCAACAAGCCGAAGAACTCCAATGGCCAGATCTTCGAGGTGATTGCAAGATCTTACAATTGGACGTATATGTTCCTCGAATTTCAGCACTGCGTGACCCAGATCGGACTCAGTCACGACACGAAGATATCTACGCCGGAGAGAGAGATGAAGAGAGAGAGAGCGTAGTCTTGTGGTTTGTGAGGAACACCAGATCGAGATGAAGTAAGAAAGCTTAAATGAGAGGGAACGAGACGCGTCGCGTTGACGGAGAAGGCGCAACTGTGTATTTTAGTTCTAGTGCACTGGAACTAAAAAGCCGGATAGAAAGGCAGATGAAGCTCTTCTCGCAAGACTAGATGCCCGGTTCCAAAAACCCTGGGCCTGCGTGGGAAGCTTTCTAGCAATTTCTCCACCACACTAGTTGCGCACGCCGTGACACCACCGGTGCAAATACAGCCTCGATAGGTTTCACGGGGAGTAGACATAGCGCCCTTCTATGATTGCACGTCACACAAACTAGTACGTTTCGGGATGAAATCAGAATGGTCGCCCCCCCGTAAAAAGGGAAAGGATAGTGAAAGAAAGTGAGAGGGGAGACAGCCAAGTATGGAACGAAGTACACCTCCAATTTCGAGATTCCATGAACCTGCTGCTTCTGAGACCGGCTGACTGCTCTATCGAACTGCAGTAACATGTGTAGAAAAGCGCGTCCTAGCAGAGAGAGAAGCAGTCTTTAGCTGCTGTCACGCTTTCCCATCGACACAGAGAGGGAGAGAGGGAGAGAGAGAGAGGAGACGAGAGGCGGGGTGGAGAAAATATTTCACCCCGGCGCAGTGAGAGTGAGTCTCAGAGGCTCACGCGTGACAACTACGTAGCGGAGGAATTCCGATTTACTGAAAATTATTGTTGCTCGCAATCTCGGTCCTCGAGACTCGTGCGCACAGGAAGTGATGTCAAATGTAAGGTCGAGTTGACGACTAATGCTAGTTTTAGCTCGAGCTCTGACAGGAAAGTAGATGCGCCCTAGAGCTGCAGAATGATCAGACAGGCCCGAAGCTTAGACGAGGCGAGTGTATTCAATTGTTGTCCAGATATGAAGCTAGCACCCCTTGGCTTTACTGAAAGTAGCCATTCGATGCGTACTAGGCAGCTAATCCGTAGGCGAGGGCCTACAAAGTCCCAGCCTGACGTACTATGCATGGTGCTAACCATGACGATTGATAATTTAATGAACATGCGCGAGTGCAGGAACTCATCTGATTGCGTCTGTCTGGTGTGCACTGAGAAAAGAGATCGTACAGGATACTTAGAGCGCAGAACAATGCGAGACCCGACGGACAATTCCGCCTTTGCTCCCGGCTTACGGCAGTAATCAGCAACCCAGGTCCAAAAAGAAGCGAACCGATGCATATGCTAAAGCTGATGGCGATTCCCCGCCCAGTCCTAGTAATATTCTTCCCGGACCCTTGAGAATTACAGCTGACAGATCCCGGCTTGCGCTAATTAGCCAACCCTCTCCCTGGCCTCTTCCCAGCCCCAAAACCTAGCTCACTCAGATCATGCTCGAATCAACTTGTCGATCATGTATGTGCATGGCCTGCGCGGTCAAATTTGGTGGCTTCTGGCTCGGCTGCTGCAGCAGCAGGAGCCACACCTCACAAGACGATACACACTTTCGATCTAATCGACTGTGTCTGTGTTCAATCCTTGCTTTGTCGCTCTGATTAGCTGCTGCATCTGAATGCTCGCCCGCTAAGGATGCGCTTTTGCTTACTAGTTGCGACTGCTGCACCGCAAAGCCTGGCCTATAGCGTAGAGTTGAGATCTAAACCCGCCCTCCTCAGATCGGAGGCGAGAGCGAGAGGAGAGCTAGATGAGAGGGGAGGGGAGGGCCCAGTTCAGGCCAAGCCACCCAGCGCAGGGATAAATCCGTGAAAAGAAAATTCTTTTCCATCCGATTTTCTTAACAAGTTGGGGCCTGGCTGCACATGCCGCTCTTGGGTCATGTGACAATGCTCAACGTGATCGAGTGACTTCACAGTGCAGACCTTCTTTTCAGCTTGGCTTCATCGCCTTGGCGACGACTGCGTGCGTGATCTCGAAATGTCTCACTCGCTGAACTGCGCTCGGCATTTGACTCTCTCGTCCCTCCCCTCGTCCGCCGAGCCTCACTCATGATCCCTCACTCACTCTCATATCCGCCGAATTCCACGTACCTCGCATCGATAACGATGACTTTCCCCACACCGGCCGGCTTCAGCTCAGCTAGCTACCCAAGGCAAGAGAAATTTTCTTCAAGCTGCAGCAGCAGCGCTGTAAGCATGCGCAGAAGCTAGCGCCTCTCTCACACTCCTCGATCCTCACCTGGAGTGACTCCATTATCCTCTTCCCGTATCATAATTTTATGCATAGCAGTATCTCAGTGACTGATACTCGAATTACTCGAATTACTGGGCAGCGCGAATCAATGTACCTCCCGGTCGTCGTCACAGTTGGGACCCTATACGACGCTAGCGCTCACGTTCCAGGGGCACTACGTTTGACCGCAAGTGAATGAAGTCCCCGATGCAGCAGCACACGAAACGAATCTTCGACAGAGGTCAGGCCCTTCTTCATGTTCTACTGGGGCCGCTACGACAATCTTCTACGACCACGACACCGAGAGTGACTGCAACCACTTGTACTTCTACCGCGGTAGATCGAAGACTCAGATTCCGCAAGTCCTGACGACGGTGTTGTCAAGACAGCGAGCGGCCGCCATATCTTTGCATCCTTGATTCGCTTCTCCAGCTGAAGCTACATCGGCAACGCCTAATCAGCAGCAGACGCAGGCGATGAGGCCCTACTCTCTCCCTACCCGGCGTGAACGGATCCCCATCCTGAGGAACATTTGTTGCACGAATTGAATCATCATATTCGTCGTCCGTGAGCCTCAACCTGAACCTGTGATGGCACGCCAGCTCCGCGAGCTGGCGTAAGTTGCTGTAACCCGAGCCCAGCCTATTCGTCGTGTGCCTAAACGCCTGCTCTACACCGTAGAACGGGAGCTCGTTCTCCTAGAGTCCTTGCTTGCTTGCTCGCTCCCTCGCTCCCTCGCTCCCTTGCTGTCTGCCTTGCTTGTTTGCTTCGTCTGAATATTCTCGGCCAGTAGCCTGGCAACCCAGCCATGCCCTTCGCATCTGTGGTCGGTGCACTTCTGCATTATATTGAAGATCTCGCAGTATAACTGCTTTTTTATATCGGGGCTCATATCAATTCCACATGTGCCTCGTATAGCTGCGTATATTCTCGAGCACCCGAGGCGACCATGGCAAGGGCTCGGCCTCCCTCCCAGTACAATGTTGACTGTAAAAAAAAGTCCTAGCTTGACAAAAAAATCATCTGCATGCACCGGGGCTCGGCCTCGGGCTCGGCTTCACAGTCATCTTCGCTTCGTCACAGGAGACGGAATTCTGGCCGGGAGCAGGCGGGACTGTGAAACGATGAAATCCTTGGTGTGGTTATCCCATTCTGGGAAACTCCTCTCGTACTTACCGCCCGTTTGACGCCAGTCGCATCACTGCAGTGGCAGTGTATCTTCACTTTCCCGTACCAGTGGGTTCCTATATCCACATCTCGACACTGCCCCATGGGTAACATTATTGCGGCACAGAAATAACCCAATTCTCGGAGGTTGGAAGGTTTCCGGGCGACAACAATTTTCTATATGCTTCTATAATGTGCTCTTCCCATTGAAGCTTCACCAGCATAACGTCGGGGGAAGTTAAAGCGGAGGTGCAATTAAGGTTTGGCGAGCAGTAGGGCGAGCGGGGAAACTAGAGAGAGAATGACAACTATATTTGTCTTTGGACTCTACATAATTATGATGTTGGCCTCAGCCCCTCCGACACAAAGTCCTACCCAAGACCGGCGACCAGCAGCAGCAGCAGCAGCCAAGTGTGACGAATACTTTTGAATATTCTTTCTCTTGCTAGGCTACTTTTGTGACCAGTAGTTTTCCCGTAGGCTCAGAAGTTGGAACCTGCTGCACCCAATGACTCGCCGCCCCGTCGCTCGGATAACTTTAAATTGATTTGGTTCTTGGAGTACTCCCCACTCCTCACTATTCTGTTCAATTTAATATATTTAGATGTTTAATGTATACAGTAGTGATCACTAAATTAGATCGATAGTGGCGTTGTATCCCAACAGTGATCATCATAATTAGGAGAGATAAGTATGAATTTCCTTCCTGGCCATCGCTCACCTCCACCTCATGCACTTGTACAAGCATGGCGTCGTAGCCACTGGATCTACATTACCCGTAGCCCTTTCACACGCTCGGTGAAACTTGAACTGCGAAGCACATATCTGTATTTATATCCATTACCAAGGCAAGTTTTGTACTCGTGTGGGTTAGGACGCCACTCCCACACGTCTCGAGCAGGTTTATCTGAACTGCTGTGACAGAGGCCCCAGAATTAAGTTTCGAGAGGAGCAACCTCGAGCTCGAGGACCTGTTTTGCATAATGAGACAAGGCTTAGTGGTTGCCAATGCGGAGGACCCATCCAGATTAGATTCCGTAAACATATTAGCATCACAAAGCTCAATAACGAACGTTCATTTCTGAACATTACCATCACGCTTTGACGTCATAACTTTGAAGCGTTATTGCTCGCGTTTCATCGTGACAATCTGATTTATGACCTCAGACGAGCCTGAAGAGGCCGTCAGATTACGGTCGAGTCGATTGCAGGTAATGAAGGTCGAGGCCAATAAGCACATGACACTACACCGTAACTTTGATTTCAAAAAGGATTTCAAATCAACGTGGGAAGACTAGTTCTCGCTACATGGAAGTCAACTTTCGCTCGCAACAGTGGGTGGTCTTAGAGCTGTCTGCTTATTATTAATTATACTCCGATCACATGGTTTACTGTATAGATCAGGGTCAAACAGAGGTCAAGTTGTCCAAAAATAAGCCTCACGAGTATTGTCATCAAACCGCAACAGTTTCGCCATCGAATGCGACGCCGCTGCAGTTTCAAATCCTTCGAAATGTCACCCGAATCTACGAGAAACTTTCTCCTGCAAAAGTCTCGCTACCCTCGTCCAAGGCTTACACTGGAAGTCAACTCCAGCATGCTACATGATTGACAAATGCACCCTTCCGTGATGTCAAACACATGTCAATTATTCCCAAATAGGTAAGATTACTATTTCTTAGCTAGGACCAGACTGCGATCATCAGCGCTCAACAGTTACAGTGCCCTTACAATAATGACTGAACTTTAGACGATATAACAACGAAAGTTTTCAGTTTGATTTAGAGGCTTTGAAAAATCCCAAAGCTTGTCACAACAACTTCGGAGGTCAAATTAAATCGACGATCATGGCGCCCGGTTCAAAATGGAAACAATTGACAAGGATATAGCAAGATGCGACAACTACAATATGCACGGTCGCTAGCAACTATTAATTATGGCAGTCTGGCGTCAGCCTGAAAGAAGAGTGTGAGTTTGAACAAGAGTCATGTCATACATTATCTCGAAAAAATTATAGAAGAATTACGTCATGGAATCAGGAGAACAGTCGTTGAGTGCAATCCTAGGCCACGTTGATAGAACAAGTATCACTCTAGCAATTGATCGAAAATGTGTGTGAGAGTGAGAGAGAGACAGTGAGAAAGAGAAAGTGAGTGAGAAAGTGAGAGAGAGAGAGAGAGAGTGATTGAGAGAGAGAGAGAGAGAGAGAGAGAGAGATTGAGATTTTCTAGATCACACAACAATGTCTTCAAGTCAACTGGCATGGATATGCATGATTGAACAAGGCAACGTGATATAGTTTTGGATCGAAAGAAGTTTGGAGGATTATGATGTCGGACGTACGGAACATCATCGCTTGAACCATGGAGCCACATGTAGCTCTATCGTATAAATGATGGCCTTCACTTGTTTTTGTAAAGTCTTGGTCGCAATGTCTGCTCATTTACCATTCCTAGGCTCGTTTTACTTTATCTTTGTACAAGTTTTTTCATCTTAAACAGGTCATGAATCCTCTCATTTCTCCAAGGAGACAGTGTTCGATATTTGCATGAGTGGAGCCCGGATTGCGGCCTTGGAGAACATATTTCATGTGGGCTTGAGTTGCAAGTCAGCGAATCACATGCTTACCGTGAGCATACACGAAATGTTGAATTAGACAACCAATACCAAACTCAAACTTGTGACTCTGTCTACTCGGTAGTTTCCATAAGGTGGTGTGATCATGAATTCATCAAAGAAACAGTCTGAGCATGCTTCTGGAACAATCCACTGCAACATCACCTCAGACTTTTATCATCCCGGATGCTGCTTGCCCTGTCTAGAAAACCCTTGATTTTGGATTCTACAATTGACTAGCACCACTAACACTTGATTCACAGCCAGTAGCTAAGCCGTTTGAAAGCACCTGGAGTGGATCACAAGTCGGGAAGACGGCTTGCATATCAATCACGCCCCACAACACCTCCCATGACATTCGCCTCTGATGATTCCGCCAATATGAACGCACATTTGGCTGGGACTTGGATGATATATTTTAAGTCTCCCTCAACTGGCAACACGTATTTTAAACCTCGGTACTCCGTTCCTAAATTGAGAAACGCTGCAGTGGGACCCTTGGAACGGAGCATCGTCTTTAATATGGCGTACTTGTTGCTCAGAGATGAAACCTCGCCGGAGGTTGTGTATATTCACAAGGCAGCATCTGCAACAAAAGAAAACGTAATTCCCTGTTGCAACTGAAGTAATGCGGGAGTAAAACAATTTAGGGCCACGCTCTTCCCACATAAAGTAGTGTCACCACCAAAAGTGGAATCAGCTTCAAATGAATGTTTCTGTGGACCACCGAGTGGACCCAATCGAAGGCTGGATGTGTGGCCCAAAGCAAGCAGGGTCTCAGAGGCCCGGAACATGAGGGAGTACACGAGAAGAAGTACCATTGTATTGTGCATGTTTGGTGTGATCATGAGCTGAGCTCACATACCAGTACCAGTACTGGTACGAGCAGCAGCATCTTCCTCAGGGACCCATAAAACCCGGTACAAGGCGCAGCTGAGCTCAGCTCAGCTCAGCTCAGACAACCGAGAGATGGGGAGACCGGCGACCGTTTGTACTGGAGATGAGCAAATCGTTTCGGATCAACTGCAAGTCTGCAACTGTCATTTGCAGGTTTTGCAATTTTGCGATTTTGGTATCTACAATTGCGAGGCGATTGTGTATGCGAGAGGCGAAGTTGAAATTCGAACCTGAATGACACCATGACTAGCTCTCCGCATACGGAGAGCTATGGGCTGAAGCCCATAGCTCTGCGTCTGCGGGTCGTTGAACGTGGCACGGGTACGGCACACTAGGAGCTGAGGAAAATAGAGCCAGAGCTAGTCCAGACTCCAGGTCCCTCTGTAATCGCCAAAGCATGCAAGAGCTTCGACGAGCAGCAGAAGCGAGTGTATTATATGCTGCTATACGGTAGGCTTCAATATTAGACAACGGCCCAGTAATCAAATAATGGCTGTATCTAGCTCCGACCCATGGCATCCAACTTTGGCCGTCTCCAAACACAGTGTAGGACGCAGGCAGGGGGAATGTTCAGTATCAGAGTATAGCGATCGCTCACCGGTAACCTGAAAACACCAGATTCAGGACTTGCCGCCCCATGATTGCATGAGGTGGCACGGGGCTCAAATGTCCACCAAATCCACTGAGCTTTCTCGCATGACTTATCATGGTCATGTTGATGCGCTGCAGGCAACAATGCTCCGGAGCCCCATTGGTATACAAGTCTCTTTTTATATATTTGGCCACCACCTCATAGATGGAGAAAGAAAGAGAGATACGGAGGGAGAGAGAGGGAGAGAGAGAGAGAGAGAGAGATTTTTATTTACAGAGAAGGGCGGTGTCAGAAGTGCAGGACATTGCTTACAGGAGGAGTGAGAGAAGGGACGTGGTTTAGTGCGCACGGGCAGCATCGGCCGAGAGCGAGGCAGCCGTTAGATTCCAAGTCTCGAGCTTTGGATCCATCGGGGCCTAAGATGTCTTGATCGTATGAAACACGTTCTCGATTCAGAGGTTGAGCGGGCAAGCCTTCACATAACGAACCGGGCAGTGAGCCGTCGCATCGAAGACGACAAGCGGAGCGAGCATCCATCCGAGTCCAGGGCAGGGTCCTTTTCCACATCGTCTCGCGAATCGCGGTCGATTCCTGTAGTCGTACCTTCAAGTACTTTCTGCTACAGAGAGTCCTCGCTAGACCTGACGTACACACGTTTGGCTTCTAGCTGCATCTAGTTGCAGACTTTCAGAGAGTCCGCTCTGGTCTGATCTCTGCGCTCCTCGAGTCAGATGGAGACATGCATCAATTGATCGATCGATCGATCGATCGAACTGACTGAGTATCCAGCCAACCATGACATCGGCTTCACAGTGCAGCTTCCTCACGACGCTGTCCGCTTTTCTCAATGCATCCGTTTAATTAT